GCCAATACGTTGCACCCTCGGAGCACTCACTCGCTCACTCACTCATCGCCCCGCGCTGTCCGGGCAAGCCTTTCGCTAACAACAACATTCGGTCTCTAGACTGAAGAACGCGTCTTCGGAAGCCGCTGGCTCGCGCAGACCGCTGGAAAGTTCGAATCGTCAAATGAGGAACTGCATCCCGTTCGCTGGACCTATCGTTTGCTGCCACCACTGAGGGTCTTGTATCCCCGGAGACAACCGTGCCTGTCACTTGATGGGCTGCCGCCCGATGCCCCTGTTTGCCGCATCTAATCATCGCCTCACCGCCTGGTTCTCTCCTGCCTTCCACGAGGGGGCTGAGTGAGAAAGCCACACTCCCACTTATACCCTCTGTTTGCCCTCGTCACCGTCACTGCACTATCTCGCCGTCACGGCCACAACACGGGTGATCCGGCCACACAGCGACCCGGCGACAACGCCGTCTGCGACGATGCCCTTCCGACGCCTGGTCATCGCCGGAAGCTGCCCATGAGGACGGTCCTCTGACACCATCGGACCATCTCTTCGCCTACCCGTCCGCTAGCCCCGCGACGCTGCGGCTGCCTGCCTCCTCAGAGATGCTCGGAAAGCTGTTCAATCTCGGGGGCGCTGCCGCCGGTGCGGCCTCCCCGGCCCAGACTTCGTCCCACAAGCCCATCTCATCCCTAGAGTCTGTGCAAGAGGACATTTACACGCGAAACCTATTGTTCCCGGACCCGCAGGACCTGTACGAGCATCGTCTGAACCAGGTCTTTCCCTTGTCTAGCGCATCGTCCATCGCTGCTGCGTCGTCAACAAGCGCGTTTGACTACAGCGGCGACATCGAGCTCGATCTGCGGGATGTGCGCATTATTGTCATGCAGGATGCCTTGAGCTCCGTTGCAGCCTCTCTCCTGTATGACAGCCAGACCCCGCCACCTGCTCCGACCGCTGCCGCGGAGCGCCCTTCCACGACAGCCGGTTCTGCATCGCACTACTCGGTACAGGATGCACGCCGGGCACCTGCCTCGCCCCGAAAGCCTAGCCTCAGCCATGCGCAGCGTCCCATCGTCATCCAGCCCGACAGCCCCAAGGTTCGGCAGGGTGCTTTTGACAGGAGGCCGTCGGTCCACGCGCGCAACCAAGGCTATACCGAGACGGACTCTCAGCGAACTTGGCGGGAGTACCGCGAAGAGCTGACAACCTTTTCAAGCTGCATCTTTGGAAACTCGGAGCTGATGGCCTACAAGGGTACGTCAACAAAAGTTCATGTTGTGCCGTCGGAAGCCCGCGCAACCGACACCGCGTCGATTCTGGGAGATGGCCGTGGCTCTATCGGCCGATCCAGCATGAGATCCAGCAGGCTATCACAATCCTTCTCTTCGGAGAATATCCCTCCGACTCCTACAATGCCGAGTCGAGTTGCGGACCGGAAGAAGGTCTTGGTTACAAGACTATTTCCAGTCTCGCTGCCCATCGAGGAGGACGCTATCAGCCCTCCTCAAGGGCCATTGGTGGAGGATAATGCCGGCTACCCCTTTCCTCAATCTTCCGAGGAACTGAAGATGAGGAAAAGGAAGAACCAACCGAAGCAAAAGCGGACGCCCATGTACGCCGTTGCTTTGGTCATCAATCTCCCGCCACTTTCCAGCCACTCGACCCCGGCTGCCACCCTACGGTCTGGGTTTCGGGGCCCCGGATCGTACTCTGAACAAGATTCTTTTCCCTCTTCATTCAACTCCAACCGGCCATCAGGCTGGACGATGGTTGGTCAGGGGGCGGGAGGCCTCGATTCTTTCGAAACATCATTCGGCAGTGACGCTGAGGATCAAATCGATGCAATCACTCAGCACTGGGACATCATCATGCGGGCGTTGAACCGCTTGCAGTCCGTAGTTGCGGCTACTCTGTTCACAATGCTCAAGCAGGCGGATATCGTGTCACCAGACCCGATGCCTCCGAGCTTGCCTTTTCACAGCGCCAGAACACCGTCCATGTCTGGTCGCCGAAGCGACGAATTGCCACCAATGAAGCCGCCAAAATCCAATGCTAAGCATATCTCACTCCTGCCAAATTGCTTGCAAGACAACAGGCAGATCGCCGCCGAAGCCGACGTTGCAAAGTCGAGGATCGTGGCTGGCATTCGGGCCACGCGAGTCACAACAGGGCAGAACCGTTGGCCGATATGGCGAGAAGAGGCCAGATGGGTAGCAAAATGGGCTGGAGGAAGAGAACAAGGATTTTTCTTCTTCAACCTCCTGACCGGGTTTCTTGCAACACATACAGATTGGCTCCAGGCGCTGAGTCCTGCATCTTACCGACGCCGCTTCCACCTCCAGCAGAAAGGGAAGTTGGATGAGGACACGTCTGTGCCCTCGAGAACAATCATCATCTCGCATGACAAGATTGCTGCGCGACGGCTGATCTTCCTGCTGTCTGCCTTTCTACCCGCCTCGCAACAACTTCCCACGATCCGGCCACATCGGCCAAGCACGCCGGTCTCGCTGGGAACATTATCCCACTCGCCCCCCTCATTCGTGGTCCCGATCCTCAAGGAAGAGTCGCTTCGTCGTAAGATTAACCGTCGGGCTGGGCCCCGGCGAACATCACACTCTCGTAACCTGAGCATGCAGTCACAGCAAGGGCGGGCAAGTGCTGTCCCTCTGCCTCTTGCGCACCTTAGCATGGAAGGTAGGCATGAGCGTCGTCCGTCAGACGCTGCCTCCATCCGCACGACGCAGCTACCAATACGTGGGAGCGATCCAACGACGCGGAAGAGCAGCGCTGCCACAACTGCAACCATCACACCTGAAACGAGCATCCCGCACTTCTCATCAGTTCACCGACCTGATTTGTTCTCTTCCGGCCGACCCGGTAGTAGCAACAGCACGGCAGCGGATGACTTGAAGCGACTTACAAGAGAAGACGGGGCCGCTGGAGAGCCTAGGCAACATTCCAGATGGGGCAGCGTTATCAGCGGTCTCTGGCCAACACGGCGACGGGACTCTGGTGCTGCATCGATCAAGGGCCAAAGTTCTGGGGATGGCCGCCCAGGTGAACCAGGCTCACCAGTGAAGCCGCAACTCAGCGTCGGCTCCCAGGCTCCCAAGGGAGTAGCGGACGGAGATACACCGGGGCCCTCTGATATGGAGCCGGAAGCTTCACAGGACCAGCCTGCTGCTCCTAACGGCGAAGGAAAGGCCAATCACCGCCCTGGCAATAGCCAGGCCTTTGCAGAGCCAACAGACACCCCGCCCAAGGTGCAAAGGACCCCAAATCCATCTGGAGCCTTCGAATCGCCGGTGAAGACATCCATCAACGTTAATGATGGGGTGATTGACGTAGACGTCCCATTTCCCGACTACATCACCTCGTTTGAGACAGCCGTCAGCTCCCCTTCAAGCAGTGGCTACCTCTCAACGCCGGGTTTTGGTACTGGTTTTGACACCTTTGAGCAATCATGCCGTGTCGCAGTGGATGGTGATACCCCGGTCAATGTAGCTGGTTGGCTGCAGCACTACCACCCTGATTTTGCACTCCAAGCCCTCCCCTCCCAGGAGGGAATCGTCGATCAAATCAAGGCCTCCATGCAGGCTGAGCCATCGCCGACGTGGCTACCCAATGTTGGCGCGTTAGACCGCGATGCCGAGCGCTGGGTAGACGTCAGCACCGCCCTTGTCGCCGATGCCACCACCTTCAGCATCACCAGGATCCGCTACCGTCGTCTCGTGAGGCTCAAACCCGTCCCGGACCGAAATACTCCTGTTGTCACAAGCTCGTACAGCCCAGCTGTGCTCACCCCGGTAGCAGCCGCCTCCCCATACGAGATCCAACTCAAGGAGGAATTCATAGAGGAGCCCATCTTTGAGCTCGATGACGTCTTGGTTGATGCAATTGAGCGGGTTGTCGCCATGGGTGCCGATCTCAGCAAAGGCGGCTCCGGCGCGTCATCCCGATCAACGAGCAAGAGGAGGGGGAGAAGAGATAGCACCTCGACTCAGTCGGACGCACATACTTCCACGAACCATCAGGGACAGGCACGTTCCCTCTCTGCTTCGGTTGGTGCCGCAGCGGGAGTCCAGGAAGTGCCGAGATCGCAATGCAAAGCGGTCCTGCTATCAGCACTGGAGGAGGTGATCAGGGAGGTTATCGAGGAGAGAGAAATGCAGAGAGAGAGAGGAGACGATGACGGAGGATACGGCGAGCCAGGGAGACATGCTGCGCTGGTAAGAGGAAGAGGTATGGAAACGGTTTTGAGGGAGGCGGTGAGAATGTGGTTAGAGGGTGTGGATTTGGGCGGGGAGTGATCCCAAGCCTCAGGCGCGCATGGTGTTTTCGTTTCGTTCTTTTTTCGGTTTCGCAGGATGGATGATACCCCATAATAATACAGCCTTAATTGTTTGTTTATTTGTTATTTTTCGCATGGAGAGGACCAGAGGGGTATGGAAGCATCGCTTGGTGGCGGAGGGCAGGGCCGCTTGTCATGACGATCATTTGTATTTGTACAGATGCCTTCAGGCCGGATAGAAGGTGACGATGCCATGACGACGAGGTTTTTATACAAGAATAGTAACAAATGCTAGAGCTACATGGTAAAACCGAGGAAGTTAAGTGGGGAGGCAATACATGAGAGCGAGCGCGAAGTAAGACGAGCTCAAGAAAATGCCGAGTTTCTTGATCAATAGGTATCTACCTAGCTTTCTAAACAGTGTCCAGATGATTGCCAACCTGATTCCGACCCTATTCCAACCCGAAACAAAATCAAGCCTGTCCAGGTTTTGAGCCCTCTGAAAATCCTTCCAAAACACTTTTAAAACTGACAGGAAAAATATCAAAAATGCAGGCACCCCCCTATTGTCTCTCCCGCCGGGAATTGAACCCGGGTCTCGAGCGATGACATCCCAACAAGGGGGTTTGACAAGCTCACATACTGATCACTATACTACGGAAGAATCGTGGGTGTCTTCAACCCACAGCAGTTTGGTCAGGGCGGTGCCTAAGATCTCGGTAACGGGGAATCGAACCCCGGGCTGCTGAGTACTCAAATCTTGGGAGCCAGCCATGATAGCCACTACACCATACCCGATCGTACTTTGTTGAAAGTGGGTTGGTTCAAGTGGAATTTGAGGAGGTGGGTGTGGATTGCTTGGTGTTGTGGACAGGGGTGGCTGGTGGTTGTGGTGGGAGTTACAAGTGGAGTGGCAGTGTGTTCAGAACTTCATTACGAGAGCAAATAAATGTATTCCTCGGGGCACAGGTGCCTGTAAGCGCTCATTTGTAGCCTGATCTTCGAGAGCTATGGGTTGATGTCGGCTGCACCAGCCTGTGTTGATACCCCTGAGTCCCACACACCTAATGTCACCCCACCACCCAGATTACGGACTCCCCTCAGCAGATCTTGTCGTGAGAAACGAACCAAGTGCTCAAGCAGATTCGCCACTCCCACCAGCCTTTCAGTGTTTTCCTCTCACTTCTCTCCAACACTTCTGGCTCCCTCCCCAGAAGATCACGACTCCAATGATATTGATGGACGGGGACGATGAGGATACCTAAAGGCCAAGCCAAAAGCGGGAAGGATACCTACCTCGCCTCACAGGAAAACCTACCCGTACAGTACACTTGTGCAAGAACGTTGAGCTCTGCAGCTGGAAACCCCATCAAACTAAACGCGTCGCATATGCAAGGTGTCGCGTGCTGAACAGCGGAATCAGGAAAGCCGATCAAACGGGCTGCCGTCCCAGCCCGTTGGTTGGGAGTGTCGACATCCACATGCTTGGCGATCTCTTGGCGATCTCTTCGCTGTCTTGGCACTCCTCCTCCAACCTCAACACCACCTGCAGTCCCAGACTACCCTGCCAACAGCGTGTCCAGGCCGGGTACGGCATCGAAATACTTTAAAACTAATCTTTTCTCTCGAGCAACGTGCTTAAAGGTGCACTGCCGATTGGCTACCTACCCGGGCCCTTATTTTTAGAATCTTCTTGCGGAGACTATATCAAGTAGAAGACTTTCCTGCCGATGTGCTTCCTTGAAAAATCCATTACTGCTGTTTCCGCTTTCTCTATAGAGACTGGCTCAAAGACCGGACGCTTCGGTGACTCGTAACACGCTCTACAACAGCAACGGGTTGTCAAAGCAGGCTTAACTCCCTATCCGTGGATGCGGTTGGCTTCTCCAGTACTCGGCGTCTTGTTTTGGTAATGTAAATATATTGATGCTCTGTCGAATTTATTCTTTCGAAATCTCTTGGGGGTCACAAGGGTCATCGGAATCGTTTTCTGGCTGGGTGGGAATCGTTCTGCTGGGCCGCGATTTGTGCACATGCCTAAATACTCGAAAGGCAAGCCTTCTAAGTAAAGTGTCTCCTGAGCCGATACTTGCGCCTGTTTCCTTGATATGGAATCACCTCCCTGCTTCTTTTCATCGGCAACTCAAAAGGGACGCCACAGACAAGCCCCCCCACCTCTTTGTGCTAATATCATTTGTATCCGATCACCGAGTACCCTGCAACAGAAAGTGAGCCCAACACTAGCCCTTGAACGTCAAAAATAAAACACGTGTTTATCATACAGCCTCCTCTAGGTTACCTTGTTCAACAAATTTCATTAATCTGTATTCAGACCTCAACCACCTTATCATCATCATCGCCCACCTCCCCTTCTATCCTCCCTACCTTACTCCCAGGCTCCTCTTCATCCCGCATCAACATGTTCACCAGCCGCTCACAAACCTCCTGTACCGCCTCGTCCTCCACCCTCGCATGAGTTTCCCTAACAATAGGATACACCTTCACATCCCTCATCAAGTCCCGTCCCGCCCTCGTGCTCGTCAAGAGCGTCAACGTCTCTACATGCGTCTGGATAATGCTCGTATCCTTATCCCGCTGCTTGTCCGGTGGAAGTAGCTGCAAGTCCGGAAGCATATCCATCATTTCATCCTCGTCGTACGTTTCATTGCCCATAATGGGTAGCAACAGGTAAGGCAGGATGTTGATGCCGTCCTCATCTAGGAAGTCGGGATGAGAGGGGACATCAAAGGCGACGTTCTTGATGGTGCTGGCCACGCCCTTGCGGCGCACGTCTGAAGTGTGCTCCGTGAAGACTTTGATCTTGTTGAGGGGCTGCACGCCGTCGTATTCTTGGCGGGTGACGAAGAATTGCCGGACTTCGGGGTGTTTTGCGAGGTCGGCGAAGAGGTAGGCGAGGTAGTCGAAGTCGGCGTTCTTGTTGTAGGAGCCGTCGGCTCCCTTGACGAAGAGGTCCATCAGTTGGTTGAGCACGAGGGGGTCAGAGTTGAGTTTGGGAGGGGGGGTTTGTTTCCGCTCCCCGATGGTCTTGAGGCCGTCCCATTTGGCAAGGTTGGCGAGGAGCATGGAATGGAGGTTGGCGTTGGGTTCTTCTGGGTCCTTGGGTTGGGTTGCATTAGTTAAGGATCAGATCGGCCGAGTGAGATTCCAAACATACGACGATGAGGCCTAGGATAATACCTAGGAACCTGTCGTCTGTAGCTACATTTTCGAGGACCTCCTGATCTGCCGTGAGGTTGATCAAGAGGGTGAGCGCGTGCTCAGCGATTTTCTACCCCACATGTTTGTCTCAGCTGGGGTTCTCATCATAGGCCTTAGTTGGGGGAGCATTTTGGCTCTCACCGGGTCATCGCGAACGAGAAATTTCAGGTGTTTTATCGGCGTCAACTTCTCTGTCTTGAATATCGCAGGTCGCGTCGTTGCATAAGGAATCAGATTTTCGATGGCAACTTGTCGAATCTGCTGAGTGGGATGGGCAATGAACCCAACAAGCTATGTTGCCAAATTAGCTACAGAACTTTGACAGGGATCCTGAGGGATATTTACCTCCTCTAATTCTGAAGGCATGATCTTTTCGACTTGGATGCGATATTCACCTTGCACAGCTGTCTCAGGGGGCAAGTTGAAAAAAACCAAGCTTCTCAGAGCTTCCTTGGACTGGAGGGGCAACGCGGGGCAGCCTCCGATAAACATGTCTATCTTATCGATAGCAACATCGGCTACAGCGATATCAAAAATCGACCGCTTCCAGCCAATGAGATGTGCAGCGCAACGCCAAGTTACCCCACGTTGGGGAACTTTTTTGGTTTTTGCAGGTACCACAAAAAATATCGCCAGCGGGATTCCAGTGTTGGGTCACAAGGGTTCACCGCGATTGTTCTAGCAGCATCTCAACAAACCCAAATACAGCATCCAAAATGCCCAAGGCTACCACTCCGAAAGCTTCCCACGGGAGGCGCCACAACCCCCTCGAGGATGACCTCCTCGCGACTGGCCTTCTCAAGAACAAGGCAGGGAAGTCGAAGCGCGAGGCCGCAGATCCGGAAGAGCAGTCCTATGTCGATGCCAAAGCCTCTCGTCAGATTCTGGCCATGAGCCGCAGTCTTATCGACGAAGATCAGCAAGAGAATGCGAAGAAGAACGCAGTGACCGGGCCTTCAGCCTTCGATTTCGACCCCTCCCGCTTTGGAACGGAGGACGACCAGGAGGAGGAGTACGGAATTGACGAGGACGCCTGGGGCGACGAGGACGATATCGCCGAGGAGACTGAGGTATATGCCGAGGATCTAGAGACGTTCAACAAATTCATCGCCCCGACCATGAAGGAGGACCCCCTCCTGACCCATGGCTGGGACGGGAAGCCAGGGGACGAGTCTGCGAAGGAAGAAGGGCAGGGGACAAATCTAGCAGATTTAATCCTTGCCAAAATCGCGGAGAGGGAGTTGGCAATGCAAGGTGGCGCTGTGGAAGAGGAGATCCGGCCAGTCGACGAGGACTACGAGTTGCCGCCAAAAGTCGTGGAGGTGTATACCAAGTGAGGCTAGTTCCGCCTGTCGATACCGGGTACAATGCTGACTTGATCAGAATTGGGATGATTCTCTCTCGGTACAAATCTGGACCGTTGCCAAAGCCGTTCAAGATTCTGCCGACGATACCACATTGGGAGGAGATCATTCAGCTCACACGGCCCGACTCGTGGAGCCCAAATGCTTGGTATGTCATGTCCATGTGAAAAGTTCTAGGACGAGGTGCTAATTATGTAGCTACGCGGCAACAAGAATCTTCGTGTCAGCGAAGCCTTTGGTTGTTCAAAGGTTTGTTGAGATGGTTATCCTCGACCGGGTCCGCGAAGATATCCACGAGAACAAAAAACTCAATGTCCACCTGTTCGCGTGTCTCAAGAAGTCTTTGTACAAGCCAGCGGGCTTCTTCAAGGGTATGTAAAATGCCTTGCGCCCCTCAGACTGGCAGTGAGTTGATCCCTGGTTCTAGGCTTCCTCTTTCCTCTGGTAGCATCCGGAACCTGCACGCTGCGCGAGGCACAGATCGTCTCTGGCGTTCTGGCGCGTGTCTCCATCCCGGTACTTCACTCGGCCGCAGCGATCAAGACTCTTTGCGATATTGCGGCAGAGCAAGCCTCCCAGAATTCTGAGTGTGTTAGCGCCACCAATCTTCTGCTCAGAACTCTTCTCGAGAAGAAATATGCGCTTCGTAGGTTGAATCACAGTTTGGACGGTAACATGGAGCTAACTTCATAAACAGCATGGCAGTGCGTGGATTCCTTAGTCTTCCACTTTATTCGATATGCAGCGGCAGTGAGAGAGATCCAGGGAACTGGGCCTAGGTCACTCCCTGTCATCTTCCATCAATGCGTGTTGGCGTTTGCGCAACGATACAGAAACGACAGTAAGCCTCTGACGAGAGGGGACCACCATGGCTGAGCTGACATTGAGCCCATTCAGTTACCGAGGACCAGCGAGAAGCATTGCTGGACCTTTTACTCAGCCATGGTCATGACCAGATTGCCCCTGAAATTCGAAGGGAACTTCTCGCCGGCCGAGGGAGAGGTGTGCCTCTTGAAGAGTCAGGCCCGGCATTTGATGGTGACGACACCATGCAGATGGACTGAAAACAGTCCTGGCCAAGATACGAGGAGGTTACCATGGGAGAGAGACGGCTGGAACCAGGGTTTACATGACCTTCCAGGTTAGTCTGAATGACGAATGGATCTTGAGGTCTTAGCACTGCCGGAACGGAGAGGAGAGCAGATACCCGGTGTT